GAAAGTAAAATCTGTCACTGCCTCCATATCTTCCCCCTTCTATTTGCCAAGAGGCAATGGGGCCAGTAGCCATGATCTTAGTTGTTTTTTTAAATTGAGCTTCAGAGTTATACAACCTTAGAGTTACACAACCTATATAAGCTGTTCATTATGTCCTGTCAGATGCTTGACAATCACATTGTTTTTCAAACTGCACATTATGATAAACACACAAGGAAGCAAGTTGACATTGGTTGTTGTGGGTTTTTCGCGCTCTGGACAGAGTTCCCACTCCAGTCCTCTGAAGATGCCGGGGCCACAGAGACTGGCGAAACGTCAGGAAGAACAACCTTCAGAACACGGCCAAAGAGCCCGAAAAACCCACAACAACCATTAGATCCCGGCCGTGAAAGCCTTTGCGAATATAAGTTGACATTGTCTTTTTTACTCACAAGTAACCATTAGGGAAGCAATTTGGAAGGCTCAACCATTCTCCTTATCCTTTTCCCCCTAAATTCATTCCCACAAGACTCTGTCAAGAACACAGACAAAACTTTCCACTTCTATCAGTGGATTTCAGCCTCTACCACAAGCAACAGGCCACATCTGTTTATTTGTGAGTAATCCAGTAACTTTAAGCTGCATACTATGCATATAGCATAACTTATACACAGGGTATTTATTGCGCCTTTGGCCAAGCACCATAAATGGCTGATGACTTATGTTCAGCTTCGTGGATCACAAGTCAGGTAGGCCTGAAATATGGATACAATTGATGCCATTTCAGCACCTCTTTCTCAACATTGTCACTCATTTTAGATATAAGGCTATTTTGGTCTTCTACCCTCTTTCCTATCACATACATGGGAAGTTCCCTCCATTCGCCTTGTAATTAGAAAAAGCACCCAATAAAGGGCAATGCCTTCATACACGTGCCATTGAAAGAGCCTATTTTGCCATAACATTACGACAACACCATTTGGCCACATACTAGGTATGAACAAAAGTACCTAATAATGTATTTCCAGCCTCCCTTTGTTGGGACTCCTTTCTTCCACTCTGATAAAAGGATCTTCCTTTCCCTCCAACAGCTCATCTCCAAAGAAGCTATCAGCAGTGGGGCCATTGAAAAGCTCCAAGCAGAGCATGTGAACAGTCAACAGCACATCAAAGATTTGGAGGCAAGGCTAGAGGTCAGTGTGTCTGTCAGTTTGCCGGTAATTGCACTTCTGAGTCACTATAATGTGAAATTTGCAGACGCAGATGGACATTTCCATCTAATTTCCCTGAGTATGTTTTTTCCCCTCCCTGCCTAATGCTAAATTGTCCGTTCCATAAAGATAGTCATGTTTGCCATTAACAGTGTCTAAATGCAGGGGCCTTGAAAAAATCCTCTCTTTCATATTGTATCTATCTATCCATTTGTTTTCCACAGTTCTTTCTTTCAACAAGCAGGAATGGGGCAGGTTTTCAGCTAGTATGATAGACACAATTCTGATTAAGAGGATTGAAGCAAATGTGCACATCTGAATGGGGGAACCTTCAGATACAATTGGAATAGAAATCTGAATCAGAAATTAATGATTTCATCAATTATCGCTGTAGTTGGTAGACTTTTATTCCCCACCCTAAGAGTTGCAGATGATATGACAGAGACTGGCTGTATTCCCCACCCTAAGAGTTGCAGATGATACGACAGAAACTGGCTGAGGTAGGTATGTTTGATTATTTCCTTGTAATATTTATAGACTGCCCTGTAACAATCTTCTAGATTGAAAAATGTCGTTTCTTTTAAAAATCCTTGGTCTCTTAGTGAAATAACTGCAAACAAGGTGCTGCTTGTCTTCTTAAAAATATGACTGCCAAATGCAGAGCTTCAAGTAGTTACTTTTTTGGACTGTAGCTTCTAGAATCTCTCAGTCACCAAGGCCACTGGTGATGCTGACTAAGGAATTCTGGAAGCTCTACACCAAAGGAAGTTTTTCCAAGTTCTGTGCAAGTCTCAATGTGTTCTGCAGCCAGCACTGAAAAGGCTCCGTATCCTGTTGCCACCTCACATAACTCACACTGGAGAAGAGGTGGTTACTCAGGAACCCTCATCGCTAGCCATGAAGGGCTTAAAGGTCAAAACAAGTGCCTTGAATTGGGTCTGGATTAGGAGTCAGTGCAGAAATATTGTGATGTACTCACCCAGACTCTTTGGTAGCAACATTCAGAACTCTCTGAAGCTTCTGAATCACACATAGTGGCCACATTGGCTGATTCTGATTGCTCCCTGCAAAAAAACAAAAAACCTCTAAGTGCTTATATAAAAATGTTGTTGTTGTTATGATACACTTATTTCTCAGTATTGCTGGTGCTTGGGGACAGACCAAAGGGTCAAGCCTAAAAATTAGGAATCAAGTTCTAAAAATCTGTGGGTGATTTCTGGAAAATCACTGATGGATCGATTTTGGGAAGGAAATTAGCATCTATTGCCATTTGTTTAAAAGTTTGGAGTAATTCCAGTTGCTGTAATTTATTTATTTTTCACCGTTCTTTGTACAAGTGGGAATGGAGCAGGTTTTCGGGGGGTGGGGAGGACCTGCCTTTGCTTGCATGTTCTTTTCATTTCTTCCTTTTCTTCTGAATGGACAGATAAACCTTAAGGCAAATAAGTAGTACTGGGGAAGGAGAAAGTCTGGCTTTTGTGTGTGAGGAAGAATGGAGGCAGCCGCTGCTGCTGCTGCTGCTGGGCACATATTGCTGCTTGCAAGTCCACCCCCAAAACATTTTCTCCCCTTTTTGGCTCTGGGTTGCCATATTTCCTGGCTAGTCAGATTTCCCCCAGATTTTAGAGCCACTTACATGGATACCCTTCGCACGAAATATCATAATCAGGTAGCTGAGAAGCAGATCTAGTCCTCATCACAAATGTAGCTTGGCCTTCATCTGTGATATCACAAGGCTTCACTTTCCTAACAAGGCAGGGTCCTCTACTCTGCTCCCTGGTTATAAGTTTTTTATCTGAAACCTCAGGGAATGGAACCTGGCAATCCTAAGGATTGTACACATTCTTTTACTTTTCAAAAGTTTCAGCAGATAATTTCTGACATTGCACAAGGACATATCTATTAAAACAAACATAGTGATGCTTCTTAAATATTTCACAGGCATGATGCACTTTATATAGCTGAAGCATTGGCCAAGCAAATCTGCAGACGTTAAAAAAACACAAGATTATGCCCCTTGTACGAAATTGCTGTGCTTTTATAAAGCCCCGCCCAGTGGCTGGATATACACCTCTGTCATTTTGACAGAACTAGGACTGCTATGCTGTGTAGTGGCCTTTTGAAACTCTGAGTCACTGAATTCCAAATTTCAAGTGTTCCAGTTTTAAATTACACTGGGGCTCAGCAGAGTTTCACAAATCTGAGTTTCTGACAGGTTAATCAAAACTGCAGAGCTGGTTGCAATGGGAGGGAGGTGTCTTGATGAAAAACTCCTTCAGCACATATATACATGCCCAAAACACATTTGCAGAGCCTTGTGTTCACCACAGACGGCGAGACTGATGACAGGATATTTTGTTGGAATTCTGCCACTATGGTGAAACAAATCATCTGTGAAACAGGACTTGAGTAGTTATGGAACCATCAGAATGAAGTTTCTTGATAAAATGTTGTGCTGCTTCACATAGAGGAAGCTGGATCTATATGGTTGCAAAAACAAAAACAGCCATGAAGGGACATGGGTTAACTTGTGAGAAAAGAATGGTGCTTCAGATGGTAACCTCATACAAGGCAGAGGTCATGAAACCTCTATTGTTCAATGTGCTGTAAATAATGCAGAAGCTTGCACCCTTTTCTCTCTGACCTTGTAAACAATTAGTTAAAATTTCTCTTTCTCTCCCAAAGCTTTAATTTATTAAACCTTTCTACAACAAATTTTAAATTTGCAGCCATTGCACCAATACAATTTTTGTTTGGGAGGTGAGAAGTTCAACTGCATGTTTCCATTCTTTTAATTTTATTTCTTGGTGGGGGTTACTTTGGTGGGTTGCCATTTTGGCCACTGTTAATTGTTTTAAATTGGGTTTTAAAAATTAATGATCAATTGTTTTTATTACTGATTAAGAACGCTAACTAATTTTTAAGCTATATCTTAATATTTGTATTCCAATGCTAACATGTCAATTCACTTTACCACTTAAAGATTAACATGTCAGTGCAGATGCTGATGTATCCAAGCTAACCATCTTCCTCTCCCTCCTTCTGTCTCATACACATATTCTGTACTGTCTTTTTCCATCACTAGCCACAATTATGTCCAGATTGGGGGAACTACAAGCATCACCACTTCCCCTCCACACTAGAATCAGAAATCCCAAATAATAGACCATCATCTGGCTGCCTAAATGTGGAGCAGAAGGGTAATTGTCTAGGTGTTCTTCCAACACTCTAGCATATTGTGATATGTAACAAATTGTGTGTCAGAGCTTGCAACTAGTAGGAGATCAGGCATGGGACAGGGAGCCCACCACAATCTGAGAGGCAGAAGAGACTGTTATGCAGTTACCTTTCCACTCTACATCGAGACAACAGGGTACTAGTAAGGGTTTTTTTACTCTTGTATGGAGCCTGGAGAACAACGTTAACTGATTTTTGTTGTCAGTAAATACTTTGTAGCACACAATGAATACGGCCAAACAGGAATTAGAGAAAGATGCTGTTCAAAGACAAAAGGAAGGTGAGAAAACACAAGTTAGCAACTGATTATATGCATCTGGCAAGGCTACAAGCCAAAGACATAAAATTATTAGTTGTTTAAAAGCCGACTGTAAATCTGTGGGGGGAACATTCCCATTTGCAATAGATGAGTGAGCAATGAGCCAGGGGTTACATGTCTTGTTGGGCCTGTCAGCACATTGGGATTTTTGACAAAGTATTGTGGGCATTTGCCACCAAATGGCCAGCCACAAAATTGGATGTGGCAACAACGACCCATTTCACAGATAGGCAAACTGATCAGTCTTGAAAAGAAACTGAGAACACGGCCGAGGTAAAAGACCATGAGGCATCCATTTCATGGAAAGGAAAGCTGAATCTCTCTGATCAGTCCTAAATAAATTCTTTTGAAGTTGTCATGACGTATACAGGCCCATGTCCAATTTTAATCATTTCAACAGGGTTTTCTGAGGAACTGATGGCAGAGATTTTTTTTGCCATCCTGCTGCCTACATCTCCTTACGAATGCCTGTCATGCTGCTTCATTACTCACTTATCACTAATTCGTTAAAATTTGTATTTGCTCAAACTTCCAAACTGGTGTGCCCCCCCCTTTTTCAGGTAGTTTCTTTATGTTGTTTTGCAGTCCAGCCTTATACTAACTTGTGTATTTGTAGAAGTTTATTTCTGTATTCATCAGATTGCAAAATTTTATTGTACAATGTGGCTAAGAAAGCATGTAAATATTTTTTTAAAAGTAAGATCACTTTCAGAGGCTTTTTACCATTGCTATTACTAACCTTGGTTATGGGTGAAACTTTCAGAGGCTTTTTACCATTGCTATTACTAACCTTGGTTATGGGTGAAACTTTCAGAGGCTTTTTACCATTGCTATTACTAACCTTGGTTATGGGTGAAACTGATTTTATAACAATTAGGCAAAGAGAGTATTGTCTTCTACACAAAAATTCTCTTTTTTGATCTTCCAGAGAGATCAAATGTATTTTAGCCAATTGCCACAAATAACGTTTTAAAGCATGATGCTGGCCAACTTTGGCCTCTCCACTTCTTAGGCTGACTTTGGGTCATGTCTGAGAATTAAACTAGAGCGCAGTTAAGTTTGAATTAATTCTACAAAGAAAAGCAAAATAACAGCACAGGAGAGAAGAGTAGCTTACTAAATCCTGTTCACAGTCAGGCAACTCAACTACAGTTTATTTCAATAGGAATTAGGCCACTGACTGTGCTCAGGATTACAGCCTTTATCCATATTCATGCCTAAATAGCAGGAACTTTTGTATGATAAATATAAATACTAAAAAGCTCAGAGAGACAAAGCTTACCATCTACTTAGAACTTGCTGGGGTTGAATTATTTCCCTCTGTTCCAGTTTGGTATTAAAGAGGCCAAATCAGTGTTTGGAAAGCTTCGTTTGAAAGCTTTGTTCATGGGGTGAGCAGAATGTTACTGTTTATAAAATGATGCAT